TGATGTGGGAAATCTTATAATTCCAAGCAGAAATAAATTATCACCTAATATTGTTTCAAAAATTGTTTTTCTGAAACGAAATTCATCAATTTTATCATAATTAAAAAAACTTTTTTTTTTAGTGATAGTATTTAAACATCATAAATATCATTATTATTCTTTTATTTTTTCATTATTTTTCTTGAAATTTGGACTAAGTCTTTATTTTTTATTATTATATATATATTTTTTAAATAAAATTTTAATTATACATTTCAAAGTTGATCATACTATATTAAGTATTTGTCATACATTACTCATTGAGTACTCTTGAGTTCAAACACTAGTCTATTTATATGTTTTTGTAGTAATTTATTAGACTACTCAATCAATGCACTATTTGGCCACAAAATAGTCTATTTTATGAAAAATTACATCATTGTGCAAAAGGATGCTTGGATGTTTCGCATCCAACTATTCAAAAGAATAATTCATCTTTTCGTGACTGCCAAATTTAGAAATGATTATCACAGGCTAGTCTAAATTTAGTAACGATATTAGCGGCAATTTCATCGTGAACATTGTAAACTTGTGCAACTTTGAGCCCTTCTAACTGCGCAATGCTGTGACATATCAACAAAATGAAATCGTAACTTTGTAGAGAAAGGTCTTAGCTTCAAAATTACAGCTTCTTTTTTTGGTGTTATATTTCCCTTTTTGGAGTTAGAGAAGGATCTACAAGGCCAATAAAAAGTTGTGGGACTAGGTGTCTTGTGCTATAGTAACAGTACTTATAGTAGCTGTACTTGTAGTAGTTATAGTTGTAGGAGTAGTAATTAAACTTTCATTATCTTCTTGACTAAAAATCAAATCAATCTCACTTTCTTCTCTATTTATATTTAATAATGATTCAACTTATGGTTTAGGCTCACTATCTGAAGTATTTCATATAAATTTTCATAAATTTTCTGTTTTTTATTCATAATAAAATTCACAAACAAAGAAATCAAAATTAACAAATTATTATTCTATTAATTGATTAATAATCAAATTACTAAAATAATTTAGAGCAATCTGGAGCAACCCAGAGCAAAATTATATAGTAACCCAGTTATAATAAAATATTTTGCTCCGGGTCAGTACAAAAAATTAGAAATCTTAACCCACTCCATGATGGAGTGATACATAACCCGGGTTGATGCCAAAACATTATGCTCCATCTAACAACCCTATCTGGATGATATTACCCTTGTTTTATGCCGTATAATGTGTCATAACCCTTGTCTTATTATTAATTATTTTAATATTAATATTAATTATCAAAAAAAAAATTTTTTTTAATCTTTTTTTTTAAAATATTGTTGTCATTATTCTTTTATTAATTAATTATTGTCATTTTAACAAAATCATTAATATTTATCAATTAAAAAAATATATATTATCATTCTTTTAATTTTAAAATATATCATCATTCACTCATTTACAGTGTTGGCAATGACAGTTATTTAACTTTTGAACTGTCAGTTAAATAACTGGTTCAAAAGTTAAATAACCAGTTC